AACAGGTGCCTTACTAGTAGTAACAAGAAGCTACTAGGAACAAGTGCCACGCTTCTAGGAACAGGTGCCTTACTAGTAGTAACAAGAAGCTAGTAGTAACAAGTGCCACGCTTCTAGGAACAAGGGACTGTCTCGATCCAAACAGAAAAGTTGTTTTCTTGTTTGGCCGACGCCCTCTGCCCCTCCCTTCCCCTCCTCCCTATAATCAAGTAAGGGCGACTAGTTTTCGCCACTAGCAATAGGAAGCTCCCAAGCTAGGACGCAGGACAGCTCACACATCTTCAAGGAAGATATGGTACTAATGATATGGTTCCTAGATAAACTTAACCGACTAACAGCTTGCTATTAGGTTGGAGGCCATCGCTGTTAGTTTTTCTTCACAGGTGTTTGAACAAGAGTTCTGTAGCCTTTTGGTCGCAAGTCTTGAGCTGACGGTATGGTCGCTCCTCATCAGAGTCCGAAACCGCAGACTTGGAATGCAAGCGGTGATGAACTCTTGGCATTTCCTGAAAAAAGCTGAGGCAGTTTGAAGAATTTCAACTCTTCAATCGCTACAAAAAACAAATGGCTTGAAAGCAAGTCACAAGCTCGTCACTGGAACCATCCGAGTCCACTGATGCCCTGCGATTGAGCAAGGCTTTCGGACTCCGCACCTCAGAAAGAGAGAACGCAAGGGCCAAAAGGCAACAAAGAGATGGCGAGCTGAGGAAACAGAAGCCGTTGTTCCTAGTAGCTTCTTGTTACTAGTAGCGATGCTAGGAGCCCCTGGTAGCTTCTTGCTCCTAGTAGTAAGGCCAGGAGCCCCTAGTAGCGTTCTTGCTCCCAGTAGCGATGCCGTTTGTTCCTACTAGCTTCTTCTTACTAGTAATAACGGCCTTCAACCTACTAACGATGGCCTCCAATCTAGTAGCTTCTTGCTACTTGAAAAGCTTTGTAACTCACTTAACATGCACAAACCTAAATCGATTGCTTGATATCTTGTGCCGAAAACTGCCTGTTTTCCAAGGCCATCAAGGCACTCCATGTAGGAATGATTTGGAAGCTGTGAATCGCAGAATGTGCGGTGAACTGCAGGTCACCTGGCGTCATACTGTCGTTCAATGTCGTTCAACAATGGCCTCCACCCTAATAGCAAAAGGAACCTAATAGCGATCCCATCCGGAAGACTTTCGGGTCTCTCCCCCGGCCTCATCCTCCCTTCCTTTGGTATTGGTGGCGAGGTCTCTTTCATAGTGCTGGACCAATTCCTGTAGCTCACACATCTCCAAAGTGAAAGCAAAGAGGAATACAACTAATCACTGTAAGAGTATGCACAAAGTCAAGTTGCTGATTTCAATCGATCGATCAGCTGGTCCAAGTGCGCAGTGAAAGACACATCCATCTGCACCTCGTGACTTGTGTCGGAAAACACGAGACGTTTGACACCAGGCAAGCCTAATCGATTAACCCCTTTAACGACCAAACAATAACAACAATGTTTCACCTTGACCAACAACATTAGGCTGGAGGCCATCGCTTTAGAGTTTTCACCTTAACACTTCTTAAGCTTTGGTTTCAGGTCTTGGACACCAAGGTCTTTAATTTTTTAAAAATTTTCGCTGTTTTTTATTAAGAAATGTAAGGTCAATTGCTACAAGGGCTTGGAACGCAGAAGGGATCGGGTTCTGAAACGCCCGCCAAAGGGCAGGGATGAGCTTCCTTGAACCCCCTTGCATGCTCCAATTTGGTAAGTTGGTCTCTTCACCTTCCCTCCCCTCTTCCTTTCCTTCTTCCTTTGCTTTCTTTACTTCTTCCCCTCTTCACAAAAGCACCAGGAGTTTTTCTTCGTACCTTTTGATAACACGAAGATTGGTTGCGTCTTGGGCCCAAACCCCACTGGCATGCTCCGGCACAAATACAACTTGAGCCATTGCACCATGCAACAAAATCTTGGAAATGTTCCATGTGGAAAAAAAGACATGCATGGAATGCCATGGAATGCCATTGCTGCATGCCCGCATTCGGACAACCCAAACTTGGGATAGCGCAACCCGGTCTGACGATCCACCTCGAAGGCTTGCCCGATCGGAAAAGCTGTGAAGAGGTTGACGAACACAAATCTTAAAAACCAATATGGGTTTGCCAAGGATTCAATCAAAGTGATGGTTTCAATCAAGTCCAACTCCTTCCTTCCAGTTCTTTCTCCACAATGCCTCTTTTTGGGTTCCTCTCCTTTCAGTGCCTGGTCTCCAATTTGTTCCTCTGACAAATTGGTACAAATAGGTTACAAGTTGGAAGTTGGGTCCGAAATTCTGGCAAATGCCTCTTTCTGTTTAGGTGCAACAAACACAAGACTAATTACACAAGAAGAAATCGACCTTACTGAAAAACATGGCTGAACACTCCAAGATAATTGTTTTGCACAATATGTCTGCGAATGCATTCCTTGTTGTGAGGCAAGGATGCACCGTGATAAACGAAACACTTGCTTCAAAAAATACGCAGCTCGAACATTGTTCATGTTTAAGTTCATGTTTGTAAAAGCCACGGTGTCTGCGCAGCATCGAGCAGCATGTAGTTAGATTGAACGCATTGTCCCACCTTCTTTCCGTTATGCTTCCCAAATGTCCAAATCCAACATTATGCCATTGCCCGCAACATGATACGGGTTGCTTTGGGTTGCTACCTTTGCAACAAGAGCGTCTGGCAGTTTTTCGTCAAAATGCATTTCACGCCAAGCATTAGAGCGCACCCAATAGCAATCGAGTTTGGTCTCAAGTATGTGCCTGATAAAGATGGAAAACTGCAAAACCGTAAGCTATGGATCACCAAACCGCACAGAGATCCTACGGTCTGTACTCTGCTCACACGAGACATGCACTAAATATGTATTGATTCGTCTGTCAGCCGGAGCTTTGAACATTAAAAACCCATTGTTTCTGAACATTCACCCTGGGATCAAAGAGAGCACATCGATGATGTTGATATGAGACCACCGGCTGGGACGAGGAAAGTGGAGTCAGTTGTGGAAGTTTTTCGGACAAGGAAGACACAGAGGTAGAGCCAGCTGCCAAACCCACAGGAACAGAAAGCCAGCCCCGAGCACCAAGTTCCACAATTAGCCACCCAAGAAGCTGAAGACCCCTCGTCAGAAGAACAGGAGGGCTGCAAACAAGACAAAGGACTTGCTAACCTCTCTGGCACATTGCAAGTTGGACGCACCCAATTGCAGTTCTTTGTGCCCAAACACAGGAGGCCAGCAACCGCCTTCCGCATTCTGCTGCCAGGTCCAACAAAGCTTGGAGCCCCTCTGTCTTTTCTCTCTGCAGGTTTGCAGTGAAGCCAGTCAACAAGTTTGAACGTGGCCCATTCAGGCGCATTGGAGGTAGCAACACCTTACAGACAAATCATCTGCCCACACCACGGAGAGAGTTGCTAGGCCGCTTTGAGGTCAAAGAAGAGAAGGTTTGGGCGATGGCACATCGGACTACGCATGGATTGACTACCAACAGCTGCTTTCTGGAAGGGCAAACCCTTCGTAGCGTCAACCTCGCACGTCAGCATCGGCCGAAACTGCGATGTGCTTCAGGTTCAGAGGTTCCAGCCCTGGTGGCCATCGAGCCATGAACAGTTGCGGACTAAAGTTCTGGAAATGTGGTGTTCACTGTGCTGTTGAAACAGATGTTGCACCTGGTGATTTTGGACCTTTCCGTGCGTTTTCGTCAGTTTCATGTCCCTTTTGTTCATGTTTGGGGCGAAGAGTTGAAGACATGCGAAAAACGCGGGTAGCAGACCTTACGGTAAACCACACTTCCCCTGGATCTTTAAGCTCACAGCAGGCTCTCTAGATGAGTCCGGTACACTCCAAAACTCGTTCTCTCACTCTTGAAACTTTTCAAGTCAACAACAACAATTCAAGCTAACGCAGTGCACTCCCTCGCGCCCTTTTACACTCACTCACTTGCGCCGAAAGTAACAGTCATTCAAGGACTGTACATATGCATCGACTCAGCATGCTCACCACACCGACTCAGACAGCAGCAAGTCAGCAGGCTGCCGCAAGCGACCCCCGCTGCAAAGACCAGGGCGGCCGCAGCTTCCAAGCTTAGCGGCTTAGCGCAGCAAGTATCGTTCCCACATCAAAGGTCATCAGCATACCTTAGGACGGCAAAAGCTCTAGCTTATTGCATGCCTGCTCCAAGACAACCAGTCTTACGACCTTCTGCAAAAACTGCCATTCTGGATTCGAAACATGCATGACTCTTACGCGGTTCATTCGGTCTTAAATTCTTTAAGGATTAGCTCACAAAGCTGCGTCTCCTTCCAATTGACATCTTTGGAAGACAAATGGTCATGATGACGATCACGGACACAGACCTCAAGACTTTCAAGCAAACGGGTACTATCAGTGTCTATTCTCCATGTCTTTTTGACCAACTGATTCTTCTGCATCAAATCGACTGAACAGCCGCTTCAACGAAAGTGGAATACAGAGCTCTCTTTCTCAGAAATTCTCTCGTGGTTCCACCCCCAATACGCGCATTGCTTTGGCCATTCAATCGCTACGAAATCAGCTACTTCTGCCAAACGTAGAACACCTTTCCAAAGCTTCCGTTGGGTTCGATACAACTCGCGAAGATGACTCATGTAACTCTGACCATATTTCTTGAAACGGACATCCTCCAGCGCATGGAATCAACGACCATAAGACAATAAGTTTTCCTTTCTTCTTGTGACTCAACATCGACTGCTTACGGATTCAGTGGCAGCCCGAAATGTGACTGAGATGTCAGGGTTGTTGGGAAGATTGAGACGCATTGATATTCGGATCTGCTTTTTGCAGGATGCAGTCTACAAAGGTGTGATTTCCATCACACTTGTTCGAGGTACGGAGAATTGAGCCGATTTGATGACCAAGGCATTGTCGAGAGCAGTCACGTTGCAGCACGTGGAGAAGATAGGAGTTAGTTGTTCGAGGTTTTCCGAATACGTTCATTACCATACGATCGGATCGGAAGATGGTGTTGGACCTCAGAGAAGGTTTCGCGTCAGGGTCTTGTGATTGTCGAGTGTTGCACGTCACCGGGCTCCGAGATGAAAGCTGAAGGAGAGCGTTGGAAGGTGTTGAAGTTTTGACGACTACTGAGGCAGATGACGAAACTGGCAGTTCTTCAACTTGACAACCAAAAACATGCGCTACAGCATGTTGGATACCTATAGTTTCTTTCGCTCCTTCGAACAAAGCGCACAACTCTGCTTCACCTGGACTACAGGCTACACTTTGCTGTAATCCAGGCCTTGATACAGCAATCACAAACGAAGATAGCATAGCTCCTGAAGCATTCTTTCGGTTCGTTGACTTTTCGGCTGCCCAACTGGCATCGACATAGGTCGTAATGCTTGGGACACCTGAGTACTCGTAGCTTCTGAACTTCAACTTCCAATCGGAGACAGAACGGGTGTAACGGATACTCGCACGTATCGCTGTCTCATGAACTGCAAGTGGTTGAGCTTGTCCTCGAGCAAGCATTGAACACAACCAACAAAGATCCTGTCTCGACTAAGCTACCCAACCTAACTTTCCCAATGCTGTGCGAAACGTTGACGCCGCTTCGGGCGACAACGGCTTCCGATCTTCTTCTCGATCTCGATCATAGAGCTGGAATAGATTTGGGGTTGCCTGACTTTCCTTTCCTCCAGGATACAAAAGGACATCCCTGTGACCTTCAGTCCAAGCTTTTTTGACAACTCATCCACGAGCAGCTGGGCGCGCCCATCATCCCAAACAACCAACAAATCATCGATGCACAAAACGATCAATTGATTCTCTTCCTCAGTCCCTGCAACTCCTTTCTTGCACCTTCCGGCAAAAACCGTCTTCTCCGTCACACATGCTGTCAACCTTTCAAGTTCCAACAGCTCTGCCAAGCGACGATACCATGACATCCCTGCTGACCTAGCTCTCGTCCTTCATTCCAACAGGCAATTGAAACAACTGCTGGTGAATCACTGGAGCATGCAAGATGCCTGCTCACATCCAAAAACCATGCTGTCTTTTCCAACTTCAAGTTTCGTTTTCCTTCGGAACTCGACTTCTGAGCTGGATGCGACACCACGATCTTCAAAGTTTCTGACAATGCCGCAGAACTCGAAACTCCAAATTCGGCTGCAGACGGAGCTGGCAAAATCACAAACAACAAGTCTGGATCGAACAAGATCTCGTTTGACAGCATCATGCTTTTCGCAACAACCCATCTTGTGGAAAGATTCGGATTCTGTCAGTTCAACGTTTCATTTCACAAAGCAAGACATCAGCGCTCCTTTTTTCTCTTACGAGACA